AATGGAAACGTCATCTTAACTCATATCATTGTGGAAAGTTTCTTCATCACCTTAAACGAAATTGGGTGAATACATCTCATATTACCGATTATATTAACCTATAGCTACCCTTGAACCAACATTTCACGTGAAATGAAAGTCCGGCAACCTGAAATCGCAACCGGACTCGAAAACACATTTTATTAGTATATTAACAAGCACACTGAACGATACCTGAGATTCTTCTGGCTTGCATACTATTTCACTTGCCCCAATGACTTTTGGAGCTTTCAAAGAAGCCTTGTACTGTTTGCACTCAGTTGGCTCTAGCTCTCAGGAATCTGCTTGTTCACAAGCTCCATTAGTTATCGTACGGTTCTGCAGAATCAGGTCGTGATTCTGAACGCGAAAAATAATAAGAGAAGACTCCTCTTCAATGTATACTGGACAAAATTGCCACCAGATATATATAAAATCAAGCGGCGTTTGGTGTATTCTGTCAGCAGCATAGACCGAAAATGATAATGGGACAGTTCACATTCAGAAAAGGTCGGCCTAATCTGCAGTTTATGTTGGTATTTTATATTTCGAATCCGTCCTTGAAAAAAGAATTTTGCCTCCTATCTTTGGACAGGCAAGACACTATGAAGTAAGAAGGAATGTGCTTCAAAATCTTTATTTTGGATTATTACGGCAATATTATGATAGCCAGTCTATTGATGTGGATACAATGTTACGAGCCCTGATTCAAACAAAATTGGTAGCTGAATGTTAGTCCGAGGCCAATGAATTCAGACTTTCTCGGACAAAGATTGGAAGTATGACAAAGTGGAAGCGACTATTTTGGTAATAGTGACGGGAATAAAGAATATGATGCTATTGCGAAAAATTGATATGATTGAATGTACCTCGTAGACAATGTTTATTTCTGGTTTACTATCTCGCTGTTGGAGTAGCTCATAGTTACCGCTTGTCCTTACCATTAAAAAAGCGACTGATTTCATGTTGGCTCCGTATGCAAACTAAACTAACAGAGAAAAGTGGGCGTAAATTTCGACAATGTGTCAACCAAAGGGCAATAGTGCAGAAAGAAGCAACGAGGCTAAGGAATGGATTGGCAAGGGTTCAAATCACAGCCTTTATTTATTAAGTAATGTCAAGCGGTTTATGAAGAAAAGAAGTCACATGAGACCTATCTTCATCATGTAGGCACGCTGAAGCATGTTTTGGCAGTCTGAGAATACGCGTTTGATGTTTCCTGTGTCCACGGCCGTAGTGTAGTGTGCATAACAACGTCGGCCAGTATCGTAATTCTTCATCGCCCTCACCAGAAATTGGTCACGAATAAAGCATTTTGCCCGCAGCAGCAATTTTTTGTCACCAACGTCCGTACAATCAGCGGCGGGCCGGAAGCCGACTGAGTTGTCCGATGAGCAGTGGCTAATGTCACTATTGCTGTCCTTCTTTCCTGCCTCAGGGCCTGAAGAGGCACAAGAAAACAGGTTTCTCATCAAGGGCGATTTAGTGCACAAAGCCTTTTTGACAAGACCTTTGGGGTGGTCTGCGCCAGCTCCCAATGAGGTCAATGTTTCTCGTTTCTCTGTACATGGCAGTGAATAATGAGTGAAGGCAGGAAAGTATGTCTCAAGTTTAGTGTGTCCTTTAAGTATTTTCTCGGCGAACAGGTCCTGAGTGAAAGATAAATGTTGTCGATCAGCAAAATACAATATAATAATTAAAGTAAGAAGTTGGGCTTAGTTTAGAAATAATGCTCAAAAACAAACTATCGTCGTTCCAGTGCAGGGAAAAGGATAACTTACACAATAAGAAGTAGATATATTTTGAGAGTATAATAGGGGCTAATTTCCAGAAAAATTATCGAATTGCACATGGCAAGCGGCAAGATCCATGATAAGTAGTTACGTCCGATTAAACTGAGTAGATGAGCATAATGAATATCATTGCATTCAAGAGTTCCTGGAGTATTGGAATCCAATACCATATTGAGTGGACACGAAGCCGTCTCCCAGATGGAGATTGACGAAATGGTCATACAGTTTCACTCCGAACCAACTGATCCTACAGCCCTTAGATGCCAGAAGATGTGAAAAACAATAATTAGCTATAGCTGTGGGATAGTTGCATGTCTTTGCCAAAAAATGAAAGAAGCCTTTATTTCGCTCTTGTTAAGTTCAGCAAAAATAACATATTCTAAATTTAACACTTGGACATAATTATAGTATTTATTGCGTTATTGAGTAGGTTTTCGAGACTACTGGTAAATCAGAGCTATGTTCATCCTATTTCGTTGTAGGTGATGAAGTACGAGTAGTTGAACTTTCCCACAATGTTATGAGTAGAGCTGGCGTTTCCATTGAATTTCACATAGCCTTGCTTTCCCAAAAAATGTTCTCATCCAGGTTGGAGTGGACTGCAGCCTCGACCTCGTCTTGGTCTTACCAACACCCCAGGCGGGAGTCGAACCATGGCATGCAGCGTGTAAACCCGACATGTTAACCACTCGGCCACATTGACACGAAGGCCCTTGGGTCACAGAGCAGATGTCAATTTCTAGGAAGGTCAGGCATTTTTCATATCACATTCTGTTTTTGGATTGTCGATGATGCAAACTTTTATTTGCTATAGCAATCTACCACTTTTTGGTTATTGAGTAGGTTTTCCAGACTACCAAACTATAGCAAATATAAGTTTGCTTCATCGACAATCCCAAAACAGAATGTGATATAGAAAATGCCTGCCCTTCCTAGAAATTGACATCTGCTCTGTGACCCAAGGGCACTCGTGGAAATGTGGCCGAATTGTTAACGTGTCGGGCTTACACACTGCATGCCATGGTTCGACTCCAGCTTGGGGTGTTGAAAAGACCAATGCGAGGTCGAAGCTGCAGTCCACTCCAACCTGGATAGGGACATATTTTGGGAAAGCAAAGCTATGTGAACTTGTATGGAAACGTCACCTCTACTCATAGCATTGTGGGAAAATTCAACTGCCCATCCTTTATCGCCTCAAATGAAATAGGATGAACACAACTCATATATTTATAGTAATTTAAATTGATTAAGCAGTTCCCATATGTCGATATGACTTTGTATGTCATCATTTAGGTCTAAACTTCTCGCTTAACCTCTTTACCCTTCAATGCATTTTTATATAGCCCCTGTCCTAGTAAATGGAGACCAACAAAGCCGATATGGATAGGCGTAGCAAGACTCATGAACTCCCCCTCTCATGTTTCTTCATCTTAGTAACTCCTTTCTAAAATAGATCAGGTTAGTTTAAAGAATGCTTCTCAACTTTATTATTGTAGTGACTAAAATTAGATGCCAAAAAGTATGCTGGGTATTAGTAACTAAGGTGTGCCTGTATCCCTCCCTCATTGAATGGCTGAACGCGAGTGAAGCAGGGAAGTGAAACTATA